TGCAGGCAGGGCGGGCCACACCTTGGCTCTCCGCTCCTGGACTTTGAAAGGCCTGAGCTCCACTCTGCGGCTTCAGATGCAGAAGAGAATTCTCCTAATTTCCCGGGAAGACCTTGGTTGCGAGCAGATGGCCTCAGGGGAGCCCAGCAGAACAGCACCCTGACTGGGCCCTGTCCTTGGTGGGAGAGCTGGCTGGAGGGTTTCTCAAGGTGAACCCCCCAGCCTTGCCCTGGGAGTGTCAGGCAGCCCCAGGCCTGTGCCTCGGAGGTGGGGCATGGCCTTCAATGCAGGAGACACACATGCTCAGAGGGGCTGTCCCAGCCACCCAGCTGTAGGCTCCCCTGCCTCCAGGCTGCCAGCTCTGGCCACTCCTCTACATAGGGAGCAGCCCCCTGGTGAGGTGGGAACAGCCGAGCGGGAGTAGGGGAGGGAGCAGACTGCAGGTCTGCCACCTAGCTGATTCTGTGCTGTCCGAGTTCCTGGGTGGTGGGGCTGGTGGAGTGGAGGGGGGATGGTGGTGGGGTGTGGTGGTGATGTATGGGATGTCCCCTACAGGCCTTGTGGAGCCGTCATGGTCAGCAATGCAGAGAAGGGCACGGGGTGGGGCCCAGAGGTCCAAGGCAAGACCAGGATCCTGCCCCTGGGAGCCCCTTCCCTGTGGAGTGGACAGGCTGTGCCTAGGTGCCTCCTTGGGTTTGAGCAGCGGTTTTCTGCAGATTCCGCAAGGGTGGAGTCCCCTGTTCCAGCCCGGAACTACAGCAGGTCACAGACAGGGGCAGGCTGGGGCTCCAGGGTGCCCCCTCTTCATCTTCCAAATGGAGCCAGGACAGAAGTGACCGGCCTAAGCCTGGGACTCATGGAGCGGGCTTCCAAGCCAGCACCACCGCTTGCTTACCTGGTGCATGACTCTCGTAAGGTCTCCGAGCTCACAGTGAGCACATCAGCTAGGACTTAAGATACACGCAGCTACTGGGCAAGAGCAAGCAGCAAGCCCAGCCCTGGCCCAGCCAGGATGATCTAGGCCAGTGGTTCTCAACCTGTGGGTCGTGACCCCTTAGGGGGTTGAATGACCCTTTCACAGGGGTCGCCCGATTCTTAACAGTAGCAAAATGCCAGTGATGACGTAGCAACAAAAATAATTTGAAGGCTGGGGGTGGTCCCCACCACATGAGGAACTGTATGAAAGGGTCGCGGCATGAGGAAGGCTCAAACCGCTGACCTAGGGCTTCCCGGCTCCCGTTCCCTGCAGGCTTCATGTGTCTCACAGAGCACCGGGTGGAGGTTAAAACCAGACCTCCCGGGAGCCCCCTCGCCCATCCCTGTGGACACCACAGCCCCGCAGCTGTGGGCTGCTGCTTGTCCACTGCTGCCTGTCAGCCCTGCCCTCCACCCTGTGTCCAGCCCGGGGTGCCGCGGCCACTCACCCGAGCTGGGAACAGTTGAACAGCATCTGCCACAGCCGCAGCATTTGCCTGCAGGTCACCAGGGCCTCCTCCGGGCCTTTCAGCACCTGCTCCAGCTTCACCTTGGTGAACATCAGGCTGCGCCAGGTGAGAGGCAGAGTCAGTGAGCGCCCTTCTTGGCTGGCACTCCTCCTGGGGTGAGACCCCAGGGTCTGCCCACAGGCCCGCCGCCATAGCCCACGGAAGGCAGAGACTCAGCAGGAAGGCCGGCGGTGGCATTCCTGGAGTCCTGGCCTTCTCGGTGCCCCAGTTTCCCTTCACGGTCACTGCCAGAGTGCAAAGCCATCTTCTGCATCGGTTGGCGGCGACCCTGAACAGACCGTGAGTCCCCTTACCACGCGCTGGCCTGCCCGTCTCATGTGGCTCCGAGCCTGGTCTCTACCCACAGCCTCAGCTGATCAGCATCTCCAGGAACACGTGTGGGCATTATAGCGTGAGCTACACCCTCCCCTCATAGTAGGCTTGCCGTGAATCCTCAACCCCTGTAACTGTGGACACAGCCCACTTGGGAAGAGGTCGCGGGCACATGGGCGTAGGGGAGGTTTTAAGCCAACCACCTCTGAGATCTGAAAGAGCAGAGGACGCGCAGAGAAGGAAGTGAAGAGGGAGGGATAGGATGCACCCCACCGAGATCGCCGAGACGGAGGAAAGGAGGCAGAAAACAGGCGAGGGCCAGACTTCCAGTCTCGAAGCTGCGCCATCCGCTGCGGTGGGTTTGTGACAGCAGCACTAGGTAAGGAAGACACTGTGCTTTATGCTCGCCTGCCTCACAGGGGCCACGGCAGGGCCTTGGGTGAGTGACAGCCCCACAAAGCAATCCATCGGAGGCTCAGCAAGGAACTGGTACCAGGCTCCCTAGAGGAAGGACTGGCCCTATCTCGCAGGCCTGTAATCGATGCTCAGCTGAGCTCTCCT